AAGTAATCTAATTTAACCTTACTACAATTTACATATCACAGAAACTCACAAGTTACTTGACAGCTTTCCAGAAATAGTGTAATCCTACCCAAGTCTGTATGAGATCAGCTTAAAATGAGTTAGTATTATTTAACATTAATGAAATGCTAATTTTCTCAAACTGAATGAGTTTCACAGATATTGGAAAATTAATGCTGTAAAGGGTCGGCTTATTTAGTAAAATGTTTACATCTAACTGGGCCAGGTCAGCAAGTTTGGCTTTAAAAACTTGACATTACATACATATAAAATATGTATGTGTACATATACTGTATATACATGTACATGCAAACAATTGCAGATAAGTAATCTATAAATGCAAAAACAAGCCAATAGGGGGTGAAATATCAGTTCAAGGTCTTTTGTACAGTCACTAGTGCTTCAACAGGAGCTTTGCAATTGTTGAAATTGAGAAAAACAACAGAAAATCTGTTTCTATGGCAGGGGAGACCAAACCATGCTAATTAACTTCTGATGTTTTTCCATTTCATTCCACAATTTACTCAATTGCATAGCTCCTGACAAAACATGGGTGACAGTGTGAAAGGCCCTGAGCTGATATTTTACCCTCAGAAGCTTGTTCTTCATATGCACACACATACATGCACATACACATTACACACAAATTATAAGATTGCATTTATTTTTCTTATAAAGAAGATGTACAGATATACATCCTGCAACCTTGAAAAACTTATTTGAACAATGAATTTTATATTTTAAGTGGTAGTTATATTCTGAAGATTACTCCATTTAGAAAAACATCACAAAGGAACAAAGTGTTTTCAATAATTCACTTACTGTAAGTCATAAAAATTTTAATGTATTAGAAATGCATCTTTTAGTAAACTGTGTTTTTCATGTATTAAAGAAGATAAGTGAAAAGGTACAGTATATGTAATTATCATATAAAAAATAAGTGATGTGGTAACATCTGGTTATGCCAATATATTCCTGAAAAATATCATTCCCTATGATAAAAAGCTGGTCAAGCTAAGAGTTTCAGCCTAACCTGTAAGAAACCTGTGAGCAGTTTTGAGGATGCTTCTAACCTTGCAGCTTCTTCTCAGCTCAAGGCTTCCTTATTGAAAAATCACTTAAATATTGTAAATATATTAATGAGAGCATATCATACAGATTTTTTTTTTTTTTTCAACAAGTCGGCCGTCTCCCACCGAGGCAGGGTGACCCAAAAAAGAAAGAAAATCCCCAAAAAGAAAACACTTTCATCATCATTCAACACTTTCACCACACTCACACATTATCACTGTTTTTGCAGAGGTGCTCAGAATACAACAGTTCAGAAGCATATACGTATAAAGATACACAACATATCCCTCCAAACTGCCAATATCCCAAACCCCTCCTTTAAATATATTACTAAAAAATTATTATAAATCATTATACTAGAATACCACTGCCAAAATTCTAAAGTAAATATGCTAAAGTATAATAACTGATAATAAGAAATTGTGAAGCACTTATGATTAGCTCCAACCAGAAATATTTCCTAAAATTAGAATAGAAAGAAAAAATGATATATTGAGTTCAATGAAATTTGTAGAAATTAAGCACCGTTAAAATTTTTTTGCAAAACAGCTCTAAAAAGGGTGCAAATTATTTTATAATTTAAAAAGAAAAGCATTCACAGAATAAGAGAATGATCTTTTATCATCGTTAATGCTAACATTTAAAGGAAACAATTGGACACTAGACTGGTTTTATTTAAATTCAAAGAAAATAGAGAAGTCCATACTGGAAACATTTTGACAGCAATCCTGACGGTCTCATATCTACTATGATCTGCATCTATATCAATGAATTTACATGTGTGTGTGTGTGTGCGTGCATGCGTGTGTGCGCGTGCGTGCGTGTGTGTGCATGTGCGTGTATGTGTGCACGTGCGTGTGCGCGTGCATGTGTGCGTGTGCATGTGTGTGTGTGCATGTGTGCGTATGTGTGTATGTGTGCGTGTGTGTGCATGAGTGTGTGCGTGTGTGCATGTGGGTTCGTGGGGGGGTGCATGAGGGGGGTGCATGAGAGGGGGGTGCATGAGAGGGGGTGCATGAGAGGGGGTGCATGAGAGGGGGTGCATGAGAGAGGGTGCATGAGAGAGGGTGCATGAGAGAGGGTGCATGAGAGAGGGTGCATGAGAGGGGGTGCATGAAAGGGAGTGCATGAGAGGGGGTGCATGGGAAGGGGTGCATGGGAGCTGTGACTTGAGAATGTGTATTTCATTGGGGACAATGAAATACTCTGAGAATAATAGTCAAATCCTGATGATCATCATGGTTAAGATGGGAATGTATACTGTATTTTATTTTGCTAATATGTAATTTAAATCCCACTTTCCTACTTATTCTTCCCACCATTATTAATGTGCAATAAAATTAGAAATATTTGTATACTTTTTTCAAGATGCAATTTGTTTTAGCCTCATCTAAAATTAATTTTCAGAAACTAATTAAAATAGGTAGAGGAGATTATAAGCTAAAAAATTTTGGATGTGAGAAAAGGTAAATCAACCTAGATAAGTGAAGTAAATTAACAACAAGATACATTACCTGCTGCTGAAAAGTATACCAACTAACAGTTTATTTTCTTGAAGCCAAAAAGCAAGCATCAAATAACTTACTACTCTGCCTCAAGGAACAGTCTACCAGACAAGTACAATTATTAACTACAGCCACACACAAGTGTAATGATGATATATCAAGCATACTAAAGCTGTAGAGCCAAGTTACACACCAGGCTGGTTTCTCCCTCTCATTACCTATTTTGGAAAAACAGCTAAAGAACAGTATAAGAACTGTAGCTATTAAAGGTAAATCAAAGTTAAACTTACACTATAAACTAGTAACAACACTTATTCCATTTCTTAAAATGTATTTTCTTAACACGGTTGAATTTTCAGGTTAAGAGCCGTTAGCCTACCTGTTCATTTCAAAATTCACCCCTATTTAATTATACTATTCACCCAAGAATGTGACCCATAACCCTTGACTAACACAGTCTTACAGCTACAAGCAGTGCCCATGTATTACCATACAATAAAATCTCTAGGTCTGACTGCCTTAAAACTTCATTTTCTCATTTCAGTTTTCTTATTGAGTTTTTTTCCTATACATCTTTCTCAAATTTGGTACACAGTTAAACAGTAAATTATTATTATAATAATCATAACTAAGCACTAAACTCATGAGGGTCATTAAACAGCAAAGAAAACTATCAAGAGCTAATTATGCATGGGTTGTTGAAAGATTAACACCCTACAAATATTATTTTCTCAAGAGCTCTTTTCAACACCTACGGCAATATTTGAAGATATATTCACAGTCTATAAAAAACAAAATAATATCAAAGCTGTTTGAGCTTGAATGCAAATTTGCTACCTCTGCATGAAGGATATATTAAAATTAAACGAGGCAAATGCCAAATTGAATGATACTAATAGCATTTAAAAATTTAGTGGTAATTATGATGACCAAATACTATGTTAGGTCTTCAGAATAATTTCTCTGGTAGGAGGAGGGTATGAGGCTTTGACAAGCTTTTATATCAAACCTGGGCTGGGAGTAATGGAAAAAATGTGCAAACAGGTCCATAAAAAAAAATTTAGCAAGAAAAGATACTCGAAGTTTCTGATATATGCCATTCATTGGGCCATGGGGGCACTGATCCCTGGAACACCCTCCAGGTATACTCTCGGTAATGACAATTTTTTTTTTTAACACAGCAGAAGTTTCCCACCAAGGCAGAGTGACTAAAAGAAGAAAATATATACTCCATCACTTGTGCTGTCTTTCAAGTAAGAATAAAATAATAATAAAATATTTTAAACCATAACCTATGATATACTCCTAATGTACTTCAACATTCTTGATTTCATTTTTAATTGTGACAAAGGCTATTCTTTCTCTATTAAGCCTCATAACTAATGCTGAAAATCTTGTCACTACCAGTATAAAAAATACATATTATAAATAGAATTATAACACTATCTGTATATTGCACTAACTGCCAGTGCCTATGCTTCAAAATTCGTAGGATTTTTAAGTTACTGCTTTAGATAAAATTTATTCAGTCAGAATTAATGTGTTGAAAGATTTTGCTACACTACATTGATGGATGCCATTCCATCACCTTCCATCTATCCCAAACTTATATATACCCTCTTTATTAACCTAGCTTATTTCATGCTTCTGAATGACCAAACCATCTCATAAATGCTTCTTCTTCTCCTTCTCTCTGAATTACGTTCTTCTTACACTGACAATACTCTCTAATTTCTTCATTCCTTAACCTCTGCATAATATTCACACTACACACTGACCTCTGCCATTTACAATGCCTTCATATTCCATGATGCAGTATCTACATTCCATGCTTCACACAAATACAAAAGTGTCACCACCACCATATTGGGTACCATTTTTGCATCCATTGACCAAACTAAAAATATTAATTTTATAATCTGTAAAAGTTATAAAATTTTAACTTTTAATCATGCCTGAAAGATTGATGAGCTTAATTATATTAAAGTATTCAGCACAAGAATTGTACAAGCACTCTGGTCTACATAAATATTTTACCCTTAACACACATGTTGTGACAAATTTATGCAATTGCATCATGATTTTTAGCATGTTTGAACCCAAGACAAGACAGAGAACAATGCAAAGGAAAGCATCCTTACAACCTTATCTGAGTAAAGTGCTCTTAAACAGCTCATGCAAGAAATCACTGATTCTGAAACAATGCAAGTATATTATTGCAACTGAAGTTTCAATACTTCAGGAACTTGAGAAATGTTGTATGCTGTATTTCCATTTAAATGAATCTGTTAATGGTGATGATTTTAGATTTTTTTTTTTTTTATAAAATCAGAATCTAAATGTTTCAGTATAATTATTTTCTGACAAAAGGGCTAGCCTGGTTGTATAAAAGTAAGTGCAACCTGCCTGATGTATAATTCAGTATCTCGAAACTGGTTGCAGAGAGGATTGCCTTCCAGAGTCAGTTCTGTAAGATTAAGTCCAACAAGTTTTTCCAGGGTATCTAGATTCAGGATCTGAAATAAAAAGAAATAAAAATATAATTTGCATTCTTTAAAACATTTTTATCGGTAAACTGTATTACCTTTCAAGCCATGTGTGTCGTAGGTGGTGACTAAAATGCTGGGAGCAAAGGGGCTAGTAACTCCTTCTCTTGTATAAATTACTAAATGCAAAAACAAAAACTTAAATTGCTTTTTAGGTCACCCTGCTTCTGTGGGATATGGCAGGTTTGTTGAAAAACAAAAGAAAAAAAAAAAAAAAAAAAAATTACTTTTTCTACATTATTAAGGTACAGATGAGCACAATTAAGTAGCTGTTAGTCCTGCACTTAGCAGACAAAGGACAGAGCCCTGACACAGTGAATGTCCCATACAGGTTTAGCACTTCATAAACACTACATTTAACTATGCCATTCATTTTAATTTACTACTCTATTCACAAACATTTAGTTAAACAAGGAGGGGTGTTAATGTTGCAGTTTAAAAGCTGTAGTGTAAAGCACCCTTCTGGCAAGACAGTGATGGAGTGAGTGATGGTGAAAGTTTCTCTTTTTCGGGCCACCCTGCCTTGGTGGGAATCGACCAGTGTGATAATAAATAATAAAATATAAATGAAATCACCAAGTAGATTTAATTAACAATGACAGCTTCAATTCAAAAGATACACATTCAGCCTTCTATTAAATTATTATTATTATTATTATTATTATTATATTTTTTTTTTATTACTGTATATTTAGGGGAGAAGTGCCAAACACTAAATAAATAAATAATTTATACATAAATATCATCAGCTTCTTCATAGGCTATGAAAACACAGTTAGTAAAGGTACGCCATCACAAATCCGGCAATCAGTTATTCGGCACTAATTTTGGCTAGCATAATTTCAAATTTCCAGGGTTGCCACACCAACCTGCTGGTACTGTTTGGTGGCACTACTTATTGCATAAGTCACTCCAATTTCTTTTTCTGTATTTACTGTTATAACCTGCTTACTTTGAGTCCTAGCCACAGTTCCAATGAATAAAAGAAATGCTTCTCATTATGTAAAGCACCTACACAGTACATTATCCATTAAAGATAAGGTGGCTTTGAAGCCACTGTCAGTTGCCATGAGCTCAGTCTCATGATGCAGGAGAATATGCTTTATTATTATGCTAATATCAACACTACAGCTTATTTGCCTATCACAATTGATCTAATATGGCATAAGAAACAATATAAATAACATAAAACATGTTAATACTCCAGAATAAATAATATTTGGCATAACACCGAGCAGTTTGACGGAGGTATGAAGAGGATATGGTACACAAATACCATTCTCCTATCCCTGTCTTGGGGCTTATATTAGAGAAAACAGAGTGTAGCACAGGGCTAACTTTTATTTATTTATTTATTTATTTTATGTCTTTGCAAACAGTACACTGAGATTTTGTATTTACAATAGTGGGTTGCAATGCAAAGAGAGCCTCTATTATGCCTAGGCATTATGGGCCAACTTAACATTATTGGCTTGCAGTCTACTTAATACTAAGGAGTATATCATAGTTGTACAGTAGGATAGTAATTATTTCATAGTTGTATAGTAGAATATTAATTATAAATGAATCAAAATTTGTATAATACAAAGATATATTTATATTCTAAAATGCTTTTGTGAAAACAATGATTCAATTATATTCCTGTCAACAATGGATAAAAGGTTCAATGCGATTGTTTCAGTTATGATGTGGGAGTACATACGTGAGTAAGTGTGTACTGAGTATTTAGCATTTAGTCTAGGGTGATTAAGTGGCTTTTGAGAAGTCTTAAATTGATTTTCAGACTGGGTTACTTTAATATCTTCTGGTAATGAATTCCATATTTTGGGGCCCTTTATGTGCAGAGAGTTTTTACACAGTGTGATATGGACACGAGGTATATCAAAGAGAGATCTGTGTCTTGTGTTGTGGTCATGTGATATACACTCGTACTGCACCATAAACCTGAAACAAAAAAGTTATTTTCTCTATATAGATTATCACACATAGCAGCATATGTGTAGAGAACCTAGGATAACCCAAAAAAGTCAACGTGGCTTATTTCTAGTACCTGGCTTGGGTTAGCCGTATATGATTTTTGGTAAATATTTGATTCCCAGCCAGGGTAGAAACATTAGGCGTGTTTCTTTACACCTGTTGTCTATGTTTACCCATCAGTAAATGGGTACCTGGGTGTTAGCCGACTAGTGTGGGTGTTATCTTGGGACACTTACCTAATTTTCTTGAAATACTCTGCATAACAAGTGGCTTTCTTTATACTAGTAGTATGTCACTGATGTCAGCTAGGCCTGTATACCTTTTACATGTACGTGTAGTAAAGAAAGATATTATTATATTATTGTTATAATTGAAAGAATTAGAGGTAAGACAGAATGTAGGATTGTGGATGAGCAAGGAGGTTTCAGAGTGGGTAGGGGATGTGTAGATCAGGTGTTTACATTGAAGCATATATGTGAACAGTATTTAGATAAAGATAGGGAAGTTTTTATTGCATTTATGGATTTAGAAAAGGCATATGATAGAGTGGATAGAGGAGCAATGTGGCAGATGTTGCAAGTATATGGAATAGGTGGTAAGTTATTAAATGCTGTAAAGAGTTTTTATGAGGATAGTGAGGCTCAGGTTAGGGTGTGTAGAAGAGAGGGAGACTACTTCCCGGTAAAAGTAGGTCTTAGACAGGGATGTGTAATGTCACCATGGTTGTTTAATATATTTATAGATGGGGTTGTAAAGGAAGTAAATGCTAGGGTGTTCGGGAGAGGGGTGGGATTAAATTTTGGGGAATCAAATTCAAAATGGGAATTGACACAGTTACTTTTTGCTGATGATACTGTGCTTATGGGAGATTCTAAAGAAAAATTGCAAAGGTTAGTGGATGAGTTTGGGAATGTGTGTAAAGGTAGAAAGTTGAAAGTGAACATAGAAAAGAGTAAGGTGATGAGGGTGTCAAATGATTTAGATAAAGAAAAATTGGATATCAAATTGGGGAGGAGGAGTATGGAAGAAGTGAATGTTTTCAGATACTTGGGAGTTGACGTGTCGGCGGATGGATTTATGAAGGATGAGGTTAATCATAGAATTGATGAGGGAAAAAAGGTGAGTGGTGCGTTGAGGTATATGTGGAGTCAAAAAACGTTACCTATGGAGGCAAAGAAGGGAATGTATGAAAGTATAGTAGTACCAACACTCTTATATGGGTGTGAAGCTTGGGTGGTAAATGCAGCAGCGAGGAGACGGTTGGAGGCAGTGGAGATGTCCTGTCTAAGGGCAATGTGTGGTGTAAATATTATGCAGAAAATTCGGAGTGTGGAAATTAGGAGAAGGTGTGGAGTTAATAAAAGTATTAGTCAGAGGGCAGAAGAGGGGTTGTTGAGGTGGTTTGGTCATTTAGAGAGAATGGATCAAAGTAGAATGACATGGAAAGCATATAAATCTATAGGGGAAGGAAGGCGGGGTAGGGGTCGTCCTCGAAAGGGTTGGAGAGAGGGGGTAAAGGAGGTTTTGTGGGCAAGGGGCTTGGACTTCCAGCAAGCGTGCGTGAGCGTGTTAGATAGGAGTGAATGGAGACAAATGGTACTTGGGATCTGACTATCTGTTGGAGTGTGAGCAGGGTAATATTTAGTGAAGGGATTCAGGGAAACTGGTTATTTTCATATAGTCGGACTTGAGTCCTGGAAATGGGAAGTACAATGCCTGCACTTTAAAGGAGGGGTTTGGGATATTGGCAGTTTGGAGGGATATGTTGTGTATCTTTATATGTGTATGCTTCTAGACTGTTGTATTCTGAGCACCTCTGCAAAAACAGTGATAATGTGCAAGTGTGGTGAAAGTGTTGAATGATGATGAAAGTATTTTCTTTTTGGGGATTTTCTTTCTTTTTTTTTTTTGGGTCACCCTGCCTCGGTGGGAGACGGCCGACTTGTTGAAAAAAAAAAAAAAAAAAAAAATCTGAGTTTTCTTTGATTTTATCTTAATAGTTCTTGGTCTTATTACTTTTCCTTTTATATCCATGGGGAAGTGGAATTAGAATCTTTCCTCCATAAGCCATGCGTGTTGTAAAAGTCAACTAAAATGCCGGGAACAATGGGCTAGTAACCCCTTTTCCTGTAAAGATTATTAAAAAAAATAAGAAGAAAATTGTCAAAGTGGGAAGTCTGAATGTGTGTGGATGTTGTGCAAATGATAAGAAAGAGATGATTGTGGATGTTATGAGAAGAAGCTGGATGTCCTGGCTTTAAGTGAAACAAAGCTGAAAGGGGTGGGAGAGTTTCAGCGGAGAGGAATAAATGGGATTAGGTCAGGGGTTTCAAACAGAGTTAGAGCTAAAGAAGAAGTAGCAATAATGTTGAAGGATAAGATATGGCAGGAAAAGAGGGACTATAAATGTATTAATTCAAGGATTATGTGGAGAAAAATAAAGGTTGGATGTGAAAAGTGGGTTATAGTAAGCGTATATGCACCTGGAGAAGAGAGAAGTGTAGAGAGAGAGAGAGATTTTGGGAAATGTTGAGTGAATGCGTGGGGAGTTTTGAACCAAGTGTGAGAGCACTTGTTGTTGGGGATTTCAATGCTAAAGTGCGTAAAAATGTTGTGGAGGGAGTAGTAGGTAAATTTGGGGTGCCAAGGGTAAATGGGGAGCCTTTAATTGAGCTATGTGTAGAAAGAGATTTGGTAATAAGTAATACATATTTTATGAAAAAGAGGATAAATAAATATACAAGGTATGATGTAGCATGTAATGAAAGTAGTTTGTTAGATTATGTATTGGTGGATAAAAGGTTAATGGGTAGGCTCCAGGATGTACATGTTTATAGAGGGGCAACTGATATATCGGATCATTATTTAGTTGTAGCTACAGTGAGAGTAAGAAGTAGATGGGACAAGAGGAAGGTGGCAACAACAAGTAGGAGGGAAGTGAAAGTGTATAAACTAAGGGAGGAGGAAGTTCGGGTGAGATATAAGCGACTATT